GTTTTATTAAAGATACAGTGGCGAATGCCTCATATAGTGTTAAACAATATTAATAAAATAAGGTTATTGCGCACGTTGGATAGCGGACGATATCTGAGCGTCGCTTTTCGCTCGTGGGATCTCTACGAGTTTCCGCTTTTACAGAGCACGACTAAACATTCGTGGGCTGTCAAAGCGGCGACGCAACTCGAAAAACCGCGATACGTTATCTTCGCGCTACAGTCCGGAAAGAAGAACGTTCTATCCGAGGAGCCTTCCCTATTCGACGATTGCAAACTAACTAATGTCAAACTGTATCTTAATTCCGATTTTTATCCTTACGATGATATGAATTTAGATTTCAATAAGCGCAAAGTCGCAGTGCTTAACGATATGTACTCGAAATTTCGAAGAACGTATTACGGATGCGACAATGACGAAGCGCTTTTAAATCTGAATAAATTTTTAATCCACGGCCCGCTCGTAGTCATCGACTGTTCTCGACAGAACGAGTCGATCAAGAGCGCCACCGTGGACGTTCGCGTAGAGTTCGATTGCAAGGAGAACATCCCCTCTAATACCACAGCTTACTGTCTTATCATTCACGATCGAGTTGTAGAGTACAATCCGCTCACCAACGTTGTGCGCAGAATCGTGTAAGCGCGATGATATTCGAAAAAATATGAAGAGAGAATAATAGAGGCGAACACTTCGAGTACCACTAACAATGACGATGGACGCACCGATCTTTGTCGATCTTCAAGGTTTCGTATTTAACGAGAGATTCGTCGCGAAAGAAGTAGCCGTGTTAAGAAATGGCGCGGAATTGACGCATCACATCTTTCGCCCACCGATGTCTTGGGATCTGCTAACGAGAGTGGAAAAATCGCGAGCGTGTTAGTTGACATCTAATCATCATCAGTTAAAGTGGAATGACGGACACGTGAATTACGGGTCGATGAAAAGACTCATTCGGGACGCCGTATGCCGAGAATCTAGCCCCGATTCAACGATAAGAATCTACGTCAAAGGTCACGAGAAGAAAAAATGGCTAATCGAGATCTTAGGAAACGTTGCCGACGATCGCGACGTTGCCGTCTCCGTCGAGACTATCGACGCTGATTACGAGGATATCGAACGTTTGGAAACTTTAAACGCTTCGTGGGCCTTTCGCTGCGGATATCACGCGAAGAATTGCGCGTTAGAGAACGCTTGTAAATTGCACGATTGGTGGTTCGAACGACGCGATCATTTGCGTAATATGTGCGATTGATTCTATATTATATTACTTTATATCTACTCGTTTGTATTATAAATTATATCGAATTATTGTATATTATGCATCATCATATATTATATAGCATATC